CGGGAAGGGCAGGCCGAGGACTGTGGGAATGAGATTACCAGATAGCGACCAGGGGGCGTCTTCCCTCACAAAGCTTGTGTTGTCCGGAGTGATACCTGAGCTTTCCACCAGACTGCGTCAGCCCTGGCAGCAGCATGCTGAAGATCAAGTGACTGCTCGGGGTTCTCTAGAGGAATTAAAGCCTTACAATGCTTTGCTTTTACTGAGACACAGTGGGCATGTGATAGTGTGAATCTGCGGTGCTGGCTAGGCAGACCACCTCCCCTCCACCGCATCGAAGTACAAATCCCATTCCCTGCTCGGGCTCTCATGTGCCCTCTGCCCCTGTGCCACTTCATGTTAAGTGTCTGTGATAGTACTGAATGTGTGGTACAGCTGTGGAGGTGTCCCTGGGCACCATCGGCAGCACGGAGCTGTTTGCTGGTGCTCACAGTGCTGAGGGCCAGGCCTGGCTGCTTCCACGTCACAGCATGTGTGGGATTTACCCGGTTGCTGTGAGCAGGACCTTCTCCACTGCTTGCAGGGTCCGTGGTGGACAGTCAGCCCACAGTGTGCTTCTTGCTCCCTTGTGCAGAGGCACCGGAGGCATTTCAATTTTGGTGACTAGTAACAAAGCTGCTGTGCACAGTCTTCAGTGGGCTTTCGTGTGCACATATGTTTGTCCTGGTAAAAGCCCGGGAGGAGGATTGCTGGGTGGTGGAAAGGCTTGGACTCTGAGAGGCTGCAGAGGCAGCCACAGCCTGGCCAGGGCCTCACCCATTGCACAGTCTCACCAGAACTTCGGGCTGTTGGTTTGTAAAATCCTTCTCCCATTCAGATGTGTGTGTGGTAGAATCTCATTGCGTTGTTTTGCATTCACCTAATGTTGCTGAGCACTTCTCGTGGGCTTGTTTGCTGTCCGGGGCTTTGGTGAAGTATTTAAATCTTTTGCCCATTATTAATAATTGAGTGTGTTCTTTCTCATTCTCTCTTTTTGAAGGGGGATCAAAGCCAGGTCTTTTCACATGCTGGGGAAGTGAGCAACTTCTTTATACCCTGGACACAGGCCCTTTATCGGATGTTGTAAACTGGGCTTTGATGTTACAGCGAAGGATTATTTTTTAGGAATTCTTTTTTTTTTTTTTTTTTTTATTTTGTTAGAGAGAGAGGAGAGAGAGGAGAGAGAGAGAGAGAGAGAGAGAGAGAGAGAGAGAGAGAGAGAGAGAGAGAGGAGAGAGAGAGAGAGGCCAGCTCAGCCCACCAGGGGGCGGGGCTGGCTGGCATGTGGTGCTGGGGGATTGAACCGCAGTCCCTGATGCTTTGCCAAGCTTGTTCTAAGTAGGTGCCTTAGACCACTGAGCCATCTCTCCAGCCCAGGAATTCTTTTTTAAGGACATTTTTTTCCCCTCTTTTCTGCAAGTTGTGTATTTGGTTCCACATTAATTTTGTTAGTGCATGCTTACAGCTCATAAGGAGTTGTAGACATAGATGAGAAGTTACCATTCTTCTTATGTCCTGTTCTTGTCCCTCCCTCCTCCGTCTCAGTGGTGCACGTTTAACCTGTGAGTTAAGTTTTGTACAGTGTGCGTGTTAGAAGTCAAGGTTCTTATCTCTGCATGAGGGTATCGGTTATCCCAGAGCTGTGGTGAGCTCGTGCTTTTGCAGCTGAGTGCTCTTTGCACCTTTTCAGAACTTAATTGGCTCCATCTGTGTGGTCTCCATCCGGATCATGTGTTCTTTTCAGTATACTGCTGGGTCCTGTGTGCTAATATTTGTTGAGGTTTTGTGTGTCTGTACTCGTGGCGGTTACTGGTGTGTGGCTTCCTTATGGCTTTGTTTCCTTGCCTTTGGTGTTGTACCAGGGTAATGCTGGCCTCCTCGGGCGAGTTGGGTGCCTTCCCTCTTCACTGAGGTATTCTGTAGAACCAGTGTTGTTTGTCCCTTGGCACTTGCTAAGTTCATCAGCAGGGCCTCTGTCAGTGGAAAAACCACAGGGGAAAGCTGTCCCCTGGCTGCTGAAGAGGCTGAGGGGCAACAGCATAGGGTTCTAGGCGGATGGAGGCAGGAAGGCCTTGGTGCTGCTTCCTGATGGCTGTGGTCCCCTCAGGTGCTTTCCCTGGATACAAACATCACAAACCAGGTGAACAAGCTGAACCGAGACCTGCTTCGCCTGGTGGATGTGGGCGAATTCTCTGAAGAGGCCCGGTTCAGAGACCCCTGCCGCTCCTACGTGCTTCCTGAGGTGATCTGTCGCAGCTGTAACTTCTGCCGGGACCTGGACCTGTGCAGAGACTCTTCCTTCTCCCAGGTTTGTTCAGACCTGGAGGGGGCCCTTCCTGGTGGAGCCTGCAGCTGCTGCTGCCCCTGCTCTCCTGAGGATTAGGAGCAGCCCCTCCTGAGCCCTGTTTAGCTGTGGGCCTGGATGTTGTCCTGGTAGAAGTCGGCAGGCAACGGGGTGTGTGGTACATGCTGCAGCAACTCTGGGCCTGGGACTCGTGGGGATGCTGCTGGCCAGGCTGCTGCCCAAGTCTGCTGTGGCCACTGCTTACCCCTCTCCCTACTCTCCTAGGATGGGGCTGTCCTGCCACAGTGGCTCTGTTCCAACTGTCAGGCTGCTTATGACTCGGGTACCATCGAAGCCGCCCTGGTAGAAGCCCTGCAGAAGAAACTGATGGCCTTCACACTGCAGGATCTGGTGAGGCTCTGCTGTTGGCCAGGGCTGAATGGGTAGGCAGTGGACACTGGGGATCTGGGTCACCTTGCAGGAGACAGCACCTGCTGACGTGCCTGTCAGTGCCCTTTGGTACCAGCCACAGGCAGGACTGGCTGCTAGCGCTCGCACCCCAGTAGAGGGTGAGAGTGAGCGCATTAATCAGCCTGCGTGAGCAGCACCAGAGAGCAGCAGCAGACGCGGAGCTCGGTGGTGCCCCCAGCTACAGCAAGTATCAAGGAAGCCGTGGAGCGAGGCTTGAGCAGCCTGCCCATGTGGTACCCCAGATGGACAGAACCAGTGGGGCCCCGAGGAATCTCCAGGGTGTGGCTCTGGGACAGGGACCCCAGCGAGGCAGATGGTGTTGGGAGGCTGGGAGGTCTGGGTGAGGTCTCGTGCTGTACCTGTAACAGGCCCGGTATGGCTGGCAGGCTGGTCAGTCTTGCCCAGGGAGCATCCTCCTCAGCACAGGTGGGTGGTGGGGCAAGGGCGCCATGCCCATGGGCTGCCCTGTTGCAGGTCTGCCAGAAGTGCGGCGGTGTGAAGGAGACCCACATGCCTGTGTACTGCAGCTGTGCAGGCGACTTTGCCCTCACCATCCACACCCAGGTGGGCTGCGCTCCCAGCCCGTTGCTTCCTCTCCTTCCCTGGGTGGCCCTGGTGTTCTGCATCTCTCTCTTCCTCTAGGCCTTCGTGGAGCAGATCAGGATCTTCCGGAACATTGCCCAGCACTACGGAATGTCCTACCTCATGGAGACCCTGGAGTGGCTACTGCAGAAGGGCACTTGGGTGGGCCCTTAGGAGGGCCCTGGGTGCCACATCCCCATGTCACCAGAGCCCCAAGGGTGGCCACGAAGGGCCCTGAGTAGACAGCAGCAGGAAGTGCGTGGCCTGAGCAGGTCACCCACTCAGGCCTCAGGTCCCTAGGGTCATTTTCCGTGGAGTGAATATGTTTTGAGGGCTCCTATACCCAACCGCTGGGGGAAAACCGCTCAGACATACAACTTACCCTGTTCTTCCTCTCACCCCAGGCTCCTGACCACCCCAGGGCAGGGCTGGGAGGGAATTCAGGGATTTGGTGGCAGTGCAGAGGTTTCTGTGGGATGAGGGTTTCCTGCTGTGCATGGCGGCTAGAGCTGCCCCCTGTCCCTAGCCTGGTGGGAGAAGGATCTAGGCTGGTTTCTGGGAAACCTAGACCCTACCTTGTAGGACTGGGGTGCTTGCCCCTTATGAACTTCCTGTTCAGAGCAGGCAGGAAGGCGAGTCTGTGTCACCTAGTATCCCAGCACCGTAGAGGGTCCTGCCTCTTCACACCGGGATGATGGTGGGGCAGCTGAGCCCACTCGCACCCAGGCCTAGGTGGGGGGAGCCAAGCAGGGCCTCTGAGAAGGCAAGGCGGAGATGCTGAAGGCTCAAGTCCCTTCGTCTTGGCTGTCTGATGTCACTGCTGTGCTTTTTCACTTAAATGTTACACTTTGCCTAAGATTCTGCTGTGTTTGTGTGAGCCTAGAAGGCAAGTAGTTTGGTATCTAGCATCAGCCCCTCTTCCCCGCCCTTTAGAAACTTGACACTGCTTGGACCTGCTAGCTTGGAATGTGGGCCAGGCCTGAGCTGCAGAGAGGCCTCATGAGTGGTGATCTAATCAAATTAGGGCCAGTAGTGAGAGGAAGGAGGGCAGGGGTGACCAGCCTTCCTGGAAGCAGACCTGGAGATGGGTGAGGGGTGTGATTGGGCCCAGCAACATTTGTGCCTCGGCAGAGCAGCTTGTGTCAGGACAGCTTCTCAGTGAGGAACCCAAGCCTCCAGTGGGTTCCTGACTTCAGCCAGGGCCCCGAACATTCTCCAGACATCTTGCAGGGGTTCTGGTGGGCTGTGTAGACTTGCCCAAGAAGGGAGGCTCTTCACAAGCATTGGGAGCTGGTGTCACCTTGAAGCACCCAAGGTATCACTGGGACTTGGAATTTGTGCTAGGGACCTTCTAGATTTGGTTTGGGGCAGACTCCTGGGTTGCCTCCCAGCTCCTGGGTCTTAAGACCAGGTGACATGAGAGCAGTATGGACAGAGGGTGCTATCTCCCCTGTACTCAGCACAGTGCCTTGCCAACACCTGGCACTGCATGCACGCACATGTACACACGCACATGCACACCATAACTGGAAGTGCGCTGGGCTCCAAAGGGAGGTCACCCATCCTGGGCACACGGCAGCCAGCAGCACCCCTGTGGGGATGCTGTCCTATGTGGTTTGCCCAGTCTCCTGCCTTCCCCCAAGAACAAGGCCAGGAGTTCCAGCTCAGTTTTATTGAACTCAGCATGCTGTGACTTCCAAGGGAAGTGTTTGGGCAGAGTTGAAGTGCTGGGGCGCGGGGTCAAGAGCACAGACAGCTCCTCAGAACTCAGCTGTGATGCGGGGTCCCCTGGAGTGTGTTGAGTTGACACAAACCCCACCTGTCTGCAGACTGCGGGGGGAAAGGCTCTTTTGCTCAGGGCTCCTGCCCCTGGGCTGCCAGGGCATCAAGATGTGGCTGTGGGGTATGCCAGAGCAGCTGGGCAGGGACTTTGGAACCCAGGTCCACAGCACAGTGAGGACCAGGAGTTCAGAGCTGGGCCAAACCTTTGGGATCTGTGGGTGTGGAGTCCTGCTGGAGCGACTCAGAGGTGGGGAGCCCTTGTCCCCCATGTTGGTCAGGGGGATCCACCTGCTCAGACAGGGCAGAGGTGGTGTGGGGTTGTGGGGGACAAACAGATTTGCTTGGTGCTGCCCTTTGTGGGCCCTGCTGGCCAGGGCCAGGTGCCAGGTCCTGGGAGCAGTGACTGGCTGGGGGAGGCGCCTGGCCCAAAACAAGGGCAAGCGTCACTGGCCAGCTGCTGGAGGGCCTTCGTGGCGCACACACCTTGTCAAATTTCTTGTGGCTGTAGACCTTATTTTTGTTCATGAATGTTAACAAGATCCAGTCGCACAGGAAGGAGCCCTGAGGTGAGGAGACCAGTGGGTAAGGGCCTGCACCTCCAGCCCACCCAGTGCCCAGGTGGGTTCCTTACCACCCCGATGGAGGTCAGTGCGGTGGCCAGGTTGATGATGGTGGGAATCAGGCTGAACTTTCCTGCCTGAGGAGGGTGGGCTTGTTGAGAGACTGCAGCAGCTGCTAGGGCCCCAGTGTCTCAGGAGTTGGGGTCCACACCACATTACCTGACCGTGCACAATGACGTCAATGCGAATCCCATAGGCCTTGATGAGCGTGCGGGTGGTGGTGCTGTTTACCCGGTAGTACTTGGCAAACCTGGGGTGGGTGAGCCGCTGCCCAGCAGGAAACTGCCTGCGGGGCCCCTCCGCTCCCATGCCAGGGCCTTCTGGGAAGGTACCTGAAGTTGTAACCTGAGGAGGCAGGGATGTGCTTGGGGTCGAGCCTCCGGAAAGAGTACTTGGGGTTGCACTGAGATGCAGGCAGGTCCAGGTCACAGTCCCAGTTGATGACGATCCCAATGACGCCACCCTGCAAGGAGGGGGAGGGGTCATCGCAGGAGCACATGGTGGGAGCTGTGTGTCCTGTCAGGCTGGCAGAGGCCTTACCCTGTGTGCCAGCTCCGTGAAGTTCTCCCCTGCCTGCTCCACGATGAAGCCCAGCCGGAAGATGGGGCAGTAGGGGTCGGAGCCCTGGTCGAAGGTGCAACGCCTCAGGTAGTCGTCCTCCCGGTGTGCAATGTTGCCCCTAAGGGTGGCAGAGGCCTGGAGCCCCGCGCCCATCCCACCATGGCCATGCTGGCCCCCAGGCCCTGCTGACCTACTTGGAGAACTGGAACTTGGGGTAGTGGACGCTGTTCTTGATCAGAATGGTGAAGTTGGGGGCCATCTTGCCCAGGAAGTGACTGAGGAGGCAGAAGGTTGTGAGGCCCTCCCCTGAGCCCTGCAGGCTGTGGCCACCACCACACACACCCCCACTGCCATCCTGCTCCCATACCTGACTGCGGCCCCGTCCTCCACAGGGCACCACCCAGACACCTCGCAGGTCTTGGCCACCCCGTGATAATAGGGTATGCAGCGCCCCGTCCGCAACCCTGCAGGGCAGATGCAGCTCAGCCTGGCCCAGCTATGACCCACCCTGCCACCCACACTGCCCACTGACCATTGCCCAGCATGTCTAGCTCTCCAGCCATGCAGTCGGCATCCGAGTAGCAGGTGGCGTTAGGGACCCTTATGCTCTAGGGTGGAGGAGGAGGAGTCAGAGACCCACGCTGTTCACAGCCAGGGCCACCTGGCTTCCACCACTGCCCTCACCTCCGGGCAGGTGCCCAGGGTCTGGAAGGGGGTGACCTCGATCCTGGTGATGATGCTGAACACGCTGCCCCCCTGGACAGAGAGAGGGGCGTGGGCCAGCCAGCTCCCAGCCTGGGGCAGGGGGCAGGGCCTGGAATGGGACACACCTCGGGGGGCTTCACATACTCCTCCACGTCCCACACTTTGTGTTCGGACTCTGTGATCCCCTTGACCTTGGTGATGACGGAGCTCTCCGGACCCGTCTCGCTGTCCTGGTAGCTCTTCTGCACGATGAACACGTACCTGCAGGGTGGGGCTGGCTCCGAGAGGCGCAGGCAGGACCCGGCCCCTGTGCGCACCGGCCCCGGGGACCCTCCGCAGCCCTGCGCCGCTTTCCCGGCCCGGCTCCCCTCTGCTCAGCCTGGCAGCCGAGCTGCCCCTCCCCGAGCCCCGCCTGCCCCCAGCCCACCCGCACCCTGCGCACCACACGAAGTAGAGCAGGATCAACAGCTGCACCGCACGGTACACGATCCCCAGGCGCCGGTTGCGCACCACGATCACCTTGGGCGTCTCGTAGTCCCAAAACGCAGACCAGCAGCCCTGGGCCAGGCGCCAAGCCGCGGGGGCTCTGGAGCGGCTGTCGGCCATGGCTCCCCGCGCCGCCTCCAGCCGCGCCGCAGGTGCCCGAGGTGGGCGGGCCGGAGCTCGGGCGGGGCCTGCCCGGCGGCGGGAGGGAGGAGCGGAGCGGGGTGCGGCCGGGCGGGACGCCTGCGCTGAGGCTGGGCGCGACCCGGACCCGAGGCGCGCGGTGGACGAAAACCTTGTGCACTCCCACCGGGACGCGCGAGAGCCGGGACCCCCAGGCCGCCTGCGTCCTCGACGCCTTTTAACTTGGTTTCAAGTTGCTAAATTGTCGAGGCTGGGTTCCGATTGAAGCTCCTGCCTCAGCCTTTCAAGAGTGCTGGGATTTGGGATGTGTGCACTACACCGAGCTCCACTCCATTTTTTTTTTTATCCTCAGCCATCCAAAAGTTTTTTTCTTTTTTCAACTTTTATATCCCATCCCCACCTGCATTATTTGAAATCCAAAACACCATTTCACAAAGTAATATTTTATACTTATTTACGGAGAGGCGGTACATAGCCTCTGAGCAGTGCTCAGCCATGCTATCATTGGATGAGGCCCAAGCTGTCCCCCAAAAAGACCTCGTCACCCCACTCAGGGGGTAGGCAGTAGGCTCACTAACATGTCGCAGGACATAATCGGGCTGTGTCCATGGGAAGCACAGCAGACATTTGGACAGAGGGACATATCTAGGAGGCCGCCACTGAGAGATCAAAGAATCTAGAGAAGTGAAGAGACCAGTGGGCGAGTCCAAGAAAAGACTTTTTAAAAAATGTATTTAGGGTCTACAGGGTCTCACTACACAGATTGGACTCTTAGTGGTCATCCTGTTTTCAGCCTCTCAAGCGCCGGGATTACAGGCACATGCCATCACGCCCAGTTTCTTTCTTTTTTAAAAAAATTATTTATTTATTTGTGTGTGTGTGTGTGTGTGTGGCCAGCTCAGCCCACCAGGGGGCGGGGCTGGCTGGCATGTGGTGCTGGGGGATTGAACCACGGTCCCTGCGCTTTGCTAAGCTTGTTCTAAGTAGGTGCTTTAGAGCCATCTCACCAGCCTCCACACCCAGTTTCAATCCCTATCTCAGTGCACCCTGGGGGTGGGGCTTCACGGCAAGCTGGGAATCGAACCCCAGTCTCTGCATCTGCCTAAGCAGGCACTTTGATCTGCAGAGCTATCTGGCCGACCCCAAAAGAGGACTTTGCATCTGGTGGAGGCGGAGGCTTCTGTAGGGCTTGGGTGGAAAGGGTGGGGGTGACTCCCGCACCCACCAAGAAGGTGTCTTTAGTCGGCTCCCTCTGTCCCTCTCAGCACTTCAGTGTCCATCGAGGGGTCCGTGATCTTGGTCCTTTTGGAAGGCTCACAGGATGTCTGGGTGCATCAGCTCCAAGAAAGTGTTACAGGCCCTGGGGAGGGAGCCTGTACTCCAAGGCATAGGTGTGACCTTTACATGTAGCTTGGCCCTGCAGAATATCCTGCTTGCTTGGTATGTGCATGCAAGGTCCCAGAAACCTGATAGGCTGAGGGCACTCACTGCTCAGTGCTCACTGGAGATTAACTTGCTTTCTGGCTGTGCTGCCTCCTGCAAGGGAGTGTGGGTGCTCACAGGGCGAGGTGCAGCCAGACACAAGGCTTCCGCGTATCTGGGGCACCCCCAAGAGCGATGTATACCACATCTCTTCCCAGACTTCTGTGGTAGTCTGGAAGGAATGCAGCCCAGCCACCAGTGTCTGGCATTCGGGATGTGCTGCCCAGAGAGGGATCCTGAGGGTGGGGCTGTGGGATTCGAGGCCTGGAGCTCTTTGGGCGCAGGGAGAGGAGGGCCCTGCCAATAGGCGTATGTATCTTTAAGACTCTTAGGGGCTTCTTTTTGGAGTTTCTTGGAAAGGAAAAAGCAATCACAACTTTGGGCAACTGTCATGCTGTTGCAGTCCCCCTGAAGGTGCAATTACAGCTTTCTGTGACTCCTTTCTACCTATGTTTCTTCTACCTCAGCTTTCAAGTCAACACTGACGTTCGGTAAATCCATGACACTGTGTGATCACTTTCAAAACATCCTCAGCACCCCAGAATAAAACCCTTAAGCGGTCAGTCACCCCTGGTTCTCCTCTCTGCCGACAACCCGTCTGCTTTCTGTCTCCACAATTTCTGTCTGGCTACAGCGGCTCTGTTCGCTGAGGGCAGCACTTCAGGCCTTGCCCTCGCTGTGGTAGTGTCTGCAGTGATTCCGTTGCGTGGGTTTCTGTTTTTGTTTTTTAGAGAGAACGAGAGGGTCTCCCTGTCGTGAGTTCAGGCTGGCTTGACCTTCCTGCATAGCCCAGGCTGGCCCTGATCTCGCGGCGACCCTCCTGCCTCTGCCTCCCAAGTGCTGGTGTTATGGGGATGCGCTGCCATACCGTGAACTTGTTGCTTATGCTTTGGATGTCCTTTCGAAGACTCCACTGCCAAATCTAAGGTCACAAAAATTCACTCCTATGCTTTTGTCTTATTTGTATAGGTTTTAGATCCTCAGTTGAGGTTTTGGTGGATTCTGAGTTAATTTTGGGGTATGGTGTGAGCTAAGAGGCCTGCCTTAGCTCCTTCCATGTGGGTGTCCTGTTGGCCCACCACCACTTACTGCAGTTCACTTTTTTCCCCAACAAATGATTTTTTTTTCTTTTTTTGGGATAGCTTTCACTATTCAGTTCAGGCTGGCCTTGAATTCATAGCAATCCTCCTGCCTCAGCCTCTGGAGTGCTGGGGTTACAGGCCTGCACCACCACCCCAGCCCCCATCGAATGATTGTGACGCTAGTGCTGTGATTAATTCATCTTACCCTATTTTATTTTATTTTTATTTTTTGCAGAACCCGGAATTGAACTCAGGCCCTTGCGCTTGCCAGGCAAGGGCTTATTCTACTGAACCGTCTCCCTGGCCCCCATCTTACCCTATTTTAGAGACTGCATTATTGTATTACTCACTTTTCTGTTACCTGGGACACCTGCAGCTTAAAGGAGAGAGTTATTCTGGCTCACAGGTGCAGAGGACTCAGTCCACACATGGTCAGTGCATTTCACAGCGGAGCAGCATAGTGGGGGCCTGGCAGAAAACAGCCACTCACCGCAGGGCAGCCAGGCTGCAGAAGGGGGCAGCTGAGGCAAGCATGCACCCTCCCGGGCACGCCCCGAGGCCCGTGCTCCTGGCAGCACACTCCTTGTGTCCCACACCCACTCCTGTGAGCCGCTTGAGTGCAGGAGGCCTTGGGAGGACACTCAATCTGACTGACATTCTGCGCCCAGTCCCCAAAAGACTCGTGCTTCTTCCTTACGCAAAATACCTTCAGTTCATCTCTGAATTGTCAGTTTTACCAGTTTCAACATTGCTGCAAAGTCCAGTCTCCTTTGAGACTCAAGGTGAGCTCGTAGCTGTGAGCCCTGTAAAAATTCTGTCAGTGTAACAATGGCACGGGATAAACATTCCCACTCCAAAAAGGAGCGCAGGGGTCTAGAAAGGGGTCAGCCTAAAGCAAGACCAGGGCCAGGGTTACAGCTCCGTGGCACGCGGCCTGCATGGCAAGTGCAAGGTCCTGGGTTGTAGTCCTGGCACCAAAAATAAGTAAGTAAGTAAATAAATAAATAAAAATAAAGCAAGACCAAAACCTATCAGGGCAAACATGAAATTCTGTAGCCTTAAGTACAGCACCCAAATGAACTTCACAGGGTTTGCATGGCTGTACCCCCACAACTTTGCCGTTTGCTTTTCTCGTGGCCTCTCTTTTGGGTTAGCTTTACTCCTTCCTGTCCCTTCCTCAGTAGATGTTTCATGTTCTTGGCTTCCTAACTTTCTAGGTCTCCATCACACTTTCAGCATCATCCTCTCAGATCCACCCACTACCCTCCCTGGGCCACACCTCTCAGGCCTTCTGATATCTGCGTGGAAGCCTCCTTGAGCCCTCTTGCATTCTGCATACATATAAAGCCAACACTGTGGGTGATGCCAGGGACTGTAGCCAGCGTGAGTCATAGTCAGGCCCCCTTGAATCATGCCTACAGCAGCCTGGGTGCCTTCACAGCTCAGCACTCTGAACCAAATCCAGGGCTGCCTTGGAGCTCTTTCTCAAAGCACAGAATTTCACTTTTAGGTCTTTGAGCCTACAGGTGGGGTCTTACTGATTCCCGGGGTGCCCTCAAGGCATACTTCTTATTATCTCCACGCAGAGTGCTTGGCTTCATTTTAAGGCTAATCTTTTTAGCCACTGCTCTCTGGCCCACCCTGCCTAGGGCTATTCTGGGCTCTGCTGGCTGCCAGTGTCCTGGAAGTGAAGCTGTGGCCTCTGTGTGGGATCAGAAGGGCCTGTAGCTCCAGACGTCAAAGCCACCAGAAGAGTTGCAGAGGACGAGGGGTGCTAGCTGCCCTCCAGGTGCCAGCTGGGGAGGAAGCTAGCTGCCCTTGAGCTTGTGGCCTGCAGGGCCCCAGCACCCAGACTGCTGCCTGGGCAGCCTGCTGGACACCGGCTCACGGTGGGGTGAGTACCTGCTTTTCCAGTCATGACTGCTGGAGGCTCGCTCACTCTGTGCTGCTGGCTGGAGAATGGATGTCATGAGCCCCTCCACACGCTGCCGGCTGGGACTTGCCCTCTGCCAGCTGCTTCCTGGTGCCCCTCACCCCTCGTTCTGCACGATTCAGACCCCCTGTGATGCTTGGCAGCAGAGGCCACAGCCTACTGGTCTGAACCCTTGCCAGCTGCCCTGTCTTGCCTGCTGAGTCCCCGCCCCACCTACCTGTTGAGCAGGGCCAACACCAGGCAGCACCAAGCCGCCCTGAAGAGAGCTCTTTCCTCTGCAAGCCCGCCACTTGGTTGACCAGAAATCAGACAGGTGAGAGACCCACGCCACGTGCTCTGGGAGAAACAGAGTGGACAGAAGAGGCAGGGGAACCCCTGGGAGGCAGCCGCCTCCCACCTTGAGCATGAGCAGGTTTGTGTGATGCGGACCTGTGTTGGGGAATAGGTGGCCTTGAGGAGCTGGCGTCCCGTGTGCCTGTCTAGGGGTGTTTGGCAGCCTCTGGGTGGTCCTGGTTGGATAGGGACAGAGAAGGAAAGCCGTGGTTGCTAGATGAGGTTGTGGTGGCTTCTACCCACCTGTGTGGCCAGTCATATGGAGGCGGAGTCCTGGCGCAATCGGTCCCTTTGGGTGAACAGGAGAGTGCCGTGGTGGTGGACAGAGCTCAGCAACTCCTCCGTGAGCAACTCCTCCTCCTCCTTCAGAGGACAAAGCAGCAGGTGAACTGGCCTCACCTCTGAGCAAGGCACGGGGGCCCCATGGCAGCTGGGGGTGCACAGAGGCAGAGCTGGCCTCTCTTCTAACAGGACAGGTGGAGCCACTGAGTGCCCAACCACATCAGGCCCACAAACATCTCCCACTGACAGCATCTCAGCCCCAGGGGGAACCTGCAGGCATCTGCCTTGCTCAGAGTGGACCTGAGGGGCTTGTGCTTAGCACCAAATGTCCCTGAGATAAGCCAAGCCATGTGCCTCCAGGGTACACTTCACTGGCGATACCTCCTCATGGTGGCGCAGGTGGCGAGCCAGCTTCTGCTGCTTGGTACCCATGGAAGAACTCGCATTGCAAATGGCGTCAGAGGCCAGGAGATTTCTCCTTGGAATTTGTGACATCCCTGGTGGGATTCCTTTCTTGCTTTTACTGAGTGCACTGAGGGTCTGAATCCAGAGGCCACTGAGATGCAGAGGGAGTGGGAGTGGGTAGGAGCAAACTCAGAAAAGAGCCCCGTGGGGACAGAATACTCAAAAGCATGAGGGGCAGTGGCTTTCTGGTAGCACAGCTCAGCTGCAGGGCATCAATGCCTCTGCCCAAGCAGAAAGCCAAGCAGGGCCGGTGACACAGCTCAGCAGCACAAGCACCTGCATGGCAAGCACAAGGTCCTGAGTTTGATCGCTGGTACAAAAAAAAAAAAAAAAGAAAGAAAGAAAAAAGAAAAGAAAGCAAGCAAGAAAGCTAAGCACTCGTGGGTTGTTCCAGGGAGCTGAGCACGGTCTGTGCTCTGCGTGTTCCACTGTCCTCCCACACAGCTGGACTTCAGCCTGCTCACCCTCCCAGCTGGGCACCACCACCTTGCCTGGGGCTGGGGCTTGGTCTGGGTCTGCCCCTCCCAGGACTCCATGAGTCCCACAGTGTCGACCTACGCGGCTCATTTCAGTGAACTGCCCACAGGCTCACCCAGGCTGCAGCTCTGTGGTGACCCTGTCCACCCACACACTTGCGTGCACTGTGACCTACCGAGTGGGATCCTCCTGGGCATCTGGGGCTGCTTCATCTCTTGGCCATGTTGTGGAACGTGGGGCATCCAGCAGATTAGCCTGAGCGCACCTGGCCTTCTCCTGTGGTCCCCGTGGGAGGTAGGCGGGCAAAGCCACAGGAACCCTGGTCCCTGCTGATGTTGGCCTCTAGGGCCGAGGGTGCTAGGCTGCAGCCCCAAGTCCTGCTGGGTTTCCTTGGCCTGCACACGTCTGCCTACTTCTTGGGACCAAATGGAGTTCCCTGGGGCCGGAGGCGTAAATGTTGTCAGGTTGGGGTTGAGCTGCTCTGTCCACCCCACAAAGCAAGCCAGGCAGTAACAAGACCTCACGTGTGGTGTCTGCTGTGACCATCACAACAGACCCTGCAGAAGCGTGGGTGTCCGTGGGTGAGCAGCATGTCCGCTTAGGGCCTGCCTGGCCCTCATCCTCTTGCCTCGGACAATGCGACAAAGATGGTTGTTTCAGGTCTGCTGAAGCACGTGACTGTCCTCGTTGTCACCCCGAAGAACTGCCCCCATCTCCTCCTCCCTGGGTCCTTGCTCCGTCAAGACTGACATGAAACCAGACCCTAAGTGGCACGGATTTGACATCAAGATGCCAGGCTGAGGATGTGGCCCTCTCAGGTGGAGCCCACTCTGATGTCACAGAGCAGGGTGTGAATTGGACAGCCAGCGCTCCACCTGAGGGCTCTGTGGAGCCCGAGGCTGAGCCCAGACCAGAAGGCTTGAGCACTGGCGGCCTCAACTCCAAGTGCAGGAAGAGCATAGGCCGGCCTTGTGGCTCCCAGAGGCAGCTGCACAGCGAGTCTCTGCACAGCAGTGAGGGTGCTGTATCCTCCTGGCTGCCTGCACAAAGGAACCTGCAGGGGACCTATTCAAACAAACGAGCAAAAGAACCTCCCAGGGGCTGGTGAGATGGCTCAGTGGTCTAAAGCACCTACTTAGAACAAGCTTAGCAAAGCACAGGGACCGCGGTTCAATCCCCCAGCACCACATGCCAGCCAGCCCCGCCCCCTGGTGGGCTGAGCTGCCCCCCCCACAAATGAATAATTTTTTTTAAAAAAAAGCTCTTATTAAAAAAAAAAAAAAAAGAACCTCCCAGCCTCAGCCTCCTAGAGCCGTCTGCTTTGGCCTCCCTGAAGCAAGATTCCTGCCACCATGCTCTGCCACCAAGCAAGCACCAGTGAACAGCCGGCACTGTTGCTGCCTCTTGTGTTGGCAGTGAGCCTTACTGAAGGTGGCATGTCCCAGCCAGGGGCCAGCATGGAGATGCCAAGCAAGCACATATTGGAGAAACTTGGTGTTTTTTTTTTTTTTTTTTTTTTTCTTTTTTGCGTACCGGGAATTGAACTCAGGACCCTGTGCTTGCCAGGCAAGAGCTTATTCCACTGAGCCATCTCCCTGGACCCTGAAGGAGAAACTTTGAAGAAAATAAATGCGAGTATTGAGCTGAAAGCACTTAGGGAGTGGGCCCCACGGAGCCCAGGCAGATGCCCTGCCGGGTGTTGGGCAGCGGTGCTGCCGCACAGAGCATTGGAAAGGGGTGTGTATGCGCTGCGCCTGGGGGCCTCCACTGCTCTGTCTTCTGTCTGTCTTCTTCTTGGTGACAGCAGATGGAAGCGTCTCTTCCCAGCTGCACAATGAGGAACACTACCCTCTCCAGCCCACCACGCCCCATTTTGTGTCTGGTAGGACACTGGGCAGAGTGACAGTCACTTGTACAGAGGACCCTGAGGGGCACAACACAAAGGGCAACAGGAGTCCACAGTGAGGTCCGGGAGCCACCAGCTGCCTGCAGCCTCCTCGGCTTGGCAGCCATGCTCATTTAGATTAATGAAGGTCGCAGTCCTTCCCTGAAAGAAAGGGCCATTTAATAATAAATAATTTTTTTAAACATTTATTTATTTATTTATTGTGTGTGTGTGTGTGTGTGGCCAGCTCAGTCCACCAGGGCGGGGCTGGCTGGCATGTGGTGCTGGGGGATCGAACCGTGGTCCCTGTGCTTTCCCAAGCTTGTTCCAAGTAGGTGCTTTAGACCACTGAGCCATCTCACCAGCTCCAAAAGGGCCGTTTAAAAGCCATTTTTACTTCTGGATTAGAAACCAGTGAGCTCTCCAGCTAGAAAAGGACAAAAGTGGCCTTAAATTTGTCTTGCTGAGTGACAGGAACCAGTTGGAAGGGCTTGCAGATGGTAGCTCCATTTCTGGAGCAGAGTCCAGATGTGCAGGGCAGGTGGCAGGGAGGGTGGCAGGAAGGTGGACACGTGGCCTCTGTGTCATCCTCACTGCAGCCAGTGCCTGAGCAAGCCAGGATTTAGCTCAACGCAGGGCTCCAGCCTGTCACACTTGGGTGATCATGACAAGGGGCAGGACCTAGCAGCTTGGTTTTCTGCATATTTTTTCTATAAACCTGAGCTGCATAGAAAATACAACTCATTGATTTTGGTATAGCGTGGGAGAGGAAGGAGAGGAGGGCAGGAGGCCAGGGCACCTGGGCACCCACCCCACTCAGCCTGCAACCCTGCAGGCCAGCAGAGCGATGGCTGGTGTGGCCTGGATGTGGCTGTGGAGGCCGCTGCTGCTGCTGCTCTGGGCGGCCTCGGGGCCAGAGGCCTGGAACAAGGTGAGCACTGGTGGCACCTGCCTGCCTAGCCCAGGAGGGGGGAGCCTCATGGGTGGCAACATGGTGAAGTGCCCGCCCCTGCATCCCCGCTGCCCCGAGCCCGCACATCCCCACTGCCAGCCCTGGGCTATTGGCTCCCTCCCCGACTGCTCCCCACACTGCTTCCTGCCAACCCGGCACCTCAGGCTCCTCCTCTGTCCCTTCCTCACCTGCCCTGGCTCTGTCTCTCCAGGAAACCCTGAGTGCAGCCCCAATCAGTGTGCTCTTTTATCCCCCGTGGTGGTCTCTGCTTCAGGTCCTGGTTAGCTGTGTGACCATAGCAAGTTACACAGCCTCTCTGAGCCTCGGCCTCCTCCCCTGGGCCATGTCAGGTGACAGGCAGCAGAACGGGGTGCCGCAAGCTCCAGGAACAACCTTTCTGGCCCGTGTTCCATGGCCCATTCTTGCTCCCTCCAGCCTCCCTGTTCCCTCCCAGCACGGTTCCAGCCACCACTGAAGTCCTCCCAGCCTTCTGCCCCCTGGCTCCATGCTGGGTCCTGAGTGGGATGGTGGCTGGGCAGAGGGGGTGGCGCTGGCCTGGCGAGCCTGTGTTACAGGGCATGGGGGAGCCCTGTGAGGAGCATCAGGAGTGCCGGAGCGGCTGCTGTGTCCCCAACAGCTTGAACCCACAGCGGTTCTGCACTGCCCAGACCTTCTTTCAGCACTGTTCCCCGTGGCACAAGGTGCGTGGCCTGCGTAGTGTGGGAGGTGAGGGTGAGCACGGGGTGGGAAGTGGCCACGTGGAGACCTTGCTCCTGCCCCACAGCCCAACGACTACCAGTGCGACCACCACTGGGAATGCCAGAGCAACTGCTGCGTCCAGATCGGGCTTGGCATGATGCGGGCCTGCATGCCCAAGACCATCTTCCTGCAGTGTGTGCCCTGGCGCAAGGTGGGCAGAGCCCTGTCCCTGAGAAGTGGCCCAGCCCTGCCCCTGGTGCTGACCCTGGCCCTGTCCCCAGCTCAAAGGGGACCTCTGCAGGAGCCACCACGAGTGCCTGAGTCAGTGCTGCATCCGGCAAGTGGACTCAAGTCCCTACCGCTGCACGCCCCGCAGTGGGGTTCTGGCCCAGTGCTTGCCCCAGTAAGTCTCCTGTGGGAAGGCAGGGGTGACATGGAGGTGGTGTCCCGACCAGGCGGGCGGGTGCAGGGCCAAGGCCGCCACGTGTGTGAGGGTGTGGGGCAGCTGCACAGCGTGGGCCAGTGAGGCTGCTGCTTTTTTTTTTTTTTTAACTTTTATTTGCATTTATTTATTTTTTTAAAAACTTTTTTGCATAGTTTATTTATTGGTACTCGATTTATTTATTTATTTATTTATTTATTTATTTATTTTGTGTGTGTGTGGCCAGCTCAGCCCACCAGGGGGCGGGGCTGGCTGGTATGTGGTGCTGGGGGATTGAACCGCGGTCCCTGTGCTTTGCTTAGTTTAGCTTGTTCTAAGTAGGTGCTTTAGACCACTGAGCCATCTCACCAGCCCCTATTTGCATTTATTTTATGCCTAGTTTATTCCCATGCCATAAGTTTTTGTTTCTTCTGGGATATCTTTTTCTTCTGTGGAACCTCCTCCTCTGGTTTAGGAACAATTTGTTCCTTTTCAGTAAGGATCATCTCAGTGTGGCAGGGGAGCTCGTGGATGGGTTAATCCAGCCATGAGCTCTGTAAGTACGGCGGCGGCGCATCTTGGGTGCTGTGTTCACCTAGATATGCTCAATAACCCAAGAATCTGCACCTAAACCCTTAAGCTCAGCATTACGCGGCATTTTTAAGCATGTGCAGCAAAAACTCAGCACTCTTTTTGAGCTACTGGCCCTGCGTCCAGCGCCACTGTTTGGCCTGGACACACCCACCAACTCCACCATTGTAACGCCGGAATGGCACTCTTTGCTTCTTTAATGTGACGTCCTTCAGATACTTGGTGGCCTTTCAGATATGCGTGCCCTTGGTGGCCGGGCAGTTTCACGCGGGTTCTTAAAGTGAACGGAAAGATTTGAGCCTCTTTTTTTTTTTTTTTTTTAATATTTATTTATTTATTTATTTTGTGTGTGTGTGGACAGCTCAGCCCACCAGGGGGCGGGGCTGGCTGGCATGTGGTGCTGGGGGATTGAACCGCGGTCCCTGGGCTTTGTTTAGCTTAAGCTTGTTCTAAGTAGGTGCTTTAGACCACTGAGCCATCTCACCAGCCCTGAGCCTCTTGATTTGCATGATTTTGTGGGGTTTTCTGGGTCAAGAGAGTAGAGAACCATTTTCACAGGTCACCTCAGGATGTCCACAGGAAGGGGCAGAGCCCCAGTGGGGCCTCTGAGCCTGGCACTGGGCCTCGTGATGGCCAGAAGGCAGTGCGGGCTCCCTTGGGACCAGGGTGAGAGCCTGGGGTGGGGAGGCCACGGCGAGTGCAGGAGAGAGCCCGGGGTGGGGAGGCCACGGCGAGTGCAGGCGAGAGCCCGGGGTGGGGAGGCCACGGCAAGCGCGGGCGAGAGCCTCATGCAGGCCAACACCCGTGTGTCACGGAGGGCGGATCTGTGTGTATTTGTGTCTCTGTTGATCGCTGTGGACCTCTGTGTGTCTGCGTGTCTGTGTGTCTGTCTGTGAGCAGGAGGCTGGCACACTGCCAGCGAGGGAGCTTCTCTCACTCCTCTCCCCAGGGCTTCAGGCCCAGACATGCGGGACCCAGCATGAAGTCAGGGTTTGTGGCAGGGCTGTGGGCTAGGCCCACTGGTTTGCCTCTGGGCTCAGGACCTGGTGGGAGTTTTCAGCCTGGCTCCTCAGGTGCCCTGGGGGTTGAGGGGGAGCCATGTCCCACTGCTGTGGCATCCCTATGGGCCAGCCGCACTGTCTGTTCCCTCTCCTACATGCTGCTCTCATTCTTGGCCTTTCTTTCAGGCAGTGACCTGAGTCTACCGCAGGACCAGACCTGGACCCTGACGTGCTGGCTTGGCCTTGGCCACAAGGAGCTATGCCTTCTTGGCCCTGGGAGCCTCGAGGTCAGAGGCACTGCCATAGCGCCAATGATGTGGCGCTGGTGAGCACCATATGCAGGTCTGCGATGTGAGGTCCAGCTCATAAATAAACGCCCTGATGGCTCGATGCACAGGTGGGGGTGCGAAGGTCCGACTCAGGCACCTCCCGACTTGCCTAGCGCGGGAGGCACTCTGCACCCCTCCCTGCCACAGGGGATGCAAGGGCCACTCTTCTCACCGGGGGTGAAAACAGCCTACCTGAGTACAGAATGTTCCAGAACACAGGACCATGTGCCGGGGCTGCTAACCTCCTCCTCCAATCTCCCCCTGGTGGCTGAGGCTGCAGAAGCCACTTCCTCCCCTCTGGTCCCCAGGTTGGCTTCTTTCTTTCTTTCTTTTTGTATTTAGGACAGGGTGTACGGGGTCTCACCGCGTAATCGGACTTGTAGTGATCCTCCTGTTTACAGCCTCCCAAGTGCTGGGATTATAGGTGCGCACCACCACTCCCAGTCTCAACCTGTCTCGGCGTGCCCTGGGTCCGAGGAAGACAAGGCGGGCCAGGGGCTCTAACAGTTGGTCCCCGCCTCTGCCTAAGCAGGCTCTTTAATCTGCTGAGCTATTTGGCCTGCCCTGGTCCCCAGGTTTCTAAGCCATGCCCAGATGCGGTGCCCACCTGGGGTGTCAGAGCCTGAGTCACACCCAGCCTTGTGTCCTGGAGCCTCTGTTGTCTACACCTGCTCCACAGAGTTGCCTGGACTGGGTTCCCTGAGCCCTGCTGTCTGCCGGATGCCTGGCAACCCCTCCCTGTGGGTCCGCCTGGGCTGAGGGTGCTCACTCATGCCTCGTCTTAGGACTGTCCCTGTCTCTCAGGGTCCTGTGCTGTTCCTGAGGTCCCCAGCACGGCTCCCCCCACCCCCCGTGTATCCCAGGCCCAGACGCATAGTGCGTTGGCCAGTGTGACACAGGCATTAATCACAGTGAAGGAACCACGCAAACCATGACTTTGGAGAAGCAGCGTATGATTCTCCAGTTCTATGGGTTTTGTCTCTATGACAGTTTTACCTTTACTTTTCTGACTTCATAGTCTTTGATCACATGTTTATAGGATAATTTTATATTTTCTACAGAAAGAATAGAAAACTAACCAATTTAATCTCATCGAGAAGAGCCAGTTATCTTTTCTTCAATTTAAAACTAATGCTAGGGGCCTGGGAGATGGCTCAGTGGAATAAGCGCTTCCTTGGCAAGCGCAAGGGTCTGAGTTCAATCCCCGGTTCCGCCAAAAATTAAAAAAAAAATCAAAAAACAACATAAAATGCTAATAAATAAAATAAATTAAAAAAAAATTAGGGGCTGGAGAGATGGCTCAGTGGTCTAAAGCACCTACTTGGAACAAGCTTGGCAAAGCACAGGGACCGCGGTTCAATCCCCCAGCACCACATGCCAGCCAGCCCCGCCCACTGGTGGGCTGAGCTGGCCACACACACACACACACACACACACAAATAAAATTTTTCTTTTTTTTTAAAAAAAAGAAGCCTAATGTTTTCAGGGGCGCAGCGGCTGCACAGAGCTCCAGCTGTGCATTTCCAAAATGCCACCAGGGGGCAGCACAGCTCTGTGCCTACTGGAGGCCGCCTGCCCAGGGTTCCTCTGCACAGGGATGCAGGCCGCACTGAGGCCCTGACAGGGAGCAAGGAGACATGGGCAGCCCCCTCCCAGGAAGCTCTGCCTGCGCTGACTTCCATTCTGCAAATCTCTGTGCACATGAGCATGGGCTGGGGACTGTGGCGCCACGGAGGACGCGCCACGGAGGACGTGCCACGGAGGACATGGTGGACGGCGTGGAGACCCACCAGCCTTGCATGTCAGGCCCTTCAAGCTGCAGGCAGATGTGTAAGCACCTGTCAGGGTGCTCCTGGGAAAGGGAATCCACCATTTCTCTGATTTCACTTTTGGAGGGGGATTCAGCTATATTTTATCGTGTTGTCATGCCATGGACATTTTACTTTTACTTTATTTTTCGAAACAGCGTCTTGCTTTGTAATTTAGGCTGGCCTTGGATTCATGGCATCCCTCCTGCCTCTGTCTCACGAGTTCTGGGATTGTAGGTGTGCACCACCATGCCCAGCTAGCCATGGAGTTTTTTTGTTTTGTTTTGTTTTGTTTTTCCTTTTTTCTGTATTTTAGGGAAGGGTCTACAGGGTGTTCAGGGTCTTACTACTAGATTGGACTCATAGTGATTCTCCTGTTTACAGCCTTCCAAGAGCTGGGATTATAGGTGCCCACCACCATGCCCAGTCTTAATCTCCATCTAAGCATGCCCCGGGGCGGAGTTGGCACAGCAGGCCCGGGGATTGAACCCCTGACCCCTGGGCCTGCTGGCAGGTGCTTTAATCCATTGAGCTATGTGGCTGGCCCTTAGCCATGGAGTTTGTAAAGGTCCCAGTGAGACACACCACAAATCTGCCCAGCACCCTGTGAGTGTCATCAGTCAGGCAGCCGGCACCACTGCCTCCAGGCTTCTCCACTATGTGATGGGGGTTTGTGCCCCGGGTTCCTAAACGGACCCCCAGGTGGAGAGGCCATAGCAGGTGGTCAGGCCATGAGTGGGGACCCAAAAGCCCTCACTGTCTACTCCCCGGAGGTCCTGGACACCTGGCCTACAGACTGGCAGGCGTGGGGCTGCAGGGCCCATTGTGCAGCTGGCATGACCGAGGTGACCTCTGGGCCTCAGACACTGATTTCTGTGTTGCCAGGATGGAATCCAGGGCCACGGGGTGCCCGCAAGCACTCACCATGAGCCGTGCTCCAGCCCCTGCTTAGTCTGTTGAGGGAGGGTCTTGCTGAGTTGCCTAGCTGGCTTCCATCTGCCTCAGCGTCCTGACTGGGAACTTACCATTCTTCTGCCTCAGTTTTCCAAGTAGCTAGAATCACAGGTGTGCATCATGTGCACACTGTAAATGCCCCAAGGTCCCAGGGTTGGCAGCCTCGTGTCCGTCCCATCCTGGCATTAGCAAGACAGATCCATGTGGGTCAGAGCTGGCCCGCTCTGGCCAAAGTGTCCTTTGAGTGTGGTCTTCTCTTCCAAAGCTGGCCTGGGTTTCTCTACTTGTCTTAGGGTTTGCAAGGGAAGCAGGACACATCATTTATGGGACTTTTTTTTTTTTTTTTTTTTTTTTTTTGGTGGAACCAGGGATTGAACTCAGGCCTTTGTGCTTGCCAGGGAAGCACTTGTTCCACTGAGCCATCTCCCTGGCCCTGGGACTGTTTTATAATATTCACCCAAAGGATCAAATGGAAAAAGAGTGTAGAAAATCCGTCCTCCCGCTAGAGACCCCAAGAATCCAACAGAGGGCCTAGACCCCACGGCAATGTCCTGCATGAGTCCAGCTAAAGACCTAGAGCCCAGGGCGATGTCCTCCTCGTGTCCAGTGGGAGGCCTAGAGCCCACAACAACGTTCAAGGCAAGTCTGTACCAGGATCTGCACAGGGAGGGCCCAAAGGTCAGCGGTGGAAGATGGAAAGTCTGTCCCAGAAGGGTGAAGGATCTGGGCAGCAGGCTGAGGGACCTGCCCTGGAGCCAGGGAGTGAGGCTAAGGTGAGGACCAGCTCTGCCCTGAAGTGAACTGTGGCCATCCTCAGTGCCGGTGAGGCGCTCAGCTCCTCCAGTGATGAGAATAGCTGAGTTCGTATTAGGGAAGCCAGCGTGATAGGCTTCTTCAGGAGAACTGACAGCACACTGTCTTCCTCTCCTCTTTTTGTGCTGCTGGCAACAGCCCTCAACTAGGCCTTCCACACCAGCTCTGCGCTGACTGCTCAGCCTGGGGTGCGAGGTGGCCCTTCGTTCATCACCATACTACCAAATGGCTTCAGCAGGAGCCAAGTGACCACAAAGCGAGTTTTCGGGGAGCAGAGGGAGAGGAAGGCCTCTGTCCAGGTCCCCCCATTCATCTCCCAAGAGGGAAGCCTGCAGGCTGCCCCTGGCAAGCGCGCTGGGGGTTGAATGTCCCTGGGGCTGGAGGGAGGCCCGGTGCCTGGGCCTCTGTCGGTAAAGATGGAGGGGAGTCAGGGAGAACCCCACCCAGCAGCAGCCCCTTCTTCCCATAGGGCCACATTGGGGCGGCATTCAGGGGAAGGTGAGAGGGATAGAAGGGAGTTTCTAGAGGGTTTCTAGGACCATCGTTTCCGATTCCTGACTGGGTGAGGAGAGACCCGGAGGGAAGGGGAGCACTCAGCAGTGTGTCTCTGCAGAAATGAGAATGCAGACGAGTCTGACTGACAGAGAGGGCAGCGAGCCTCAGGTGGAGAGACGTTGCCTTCAAGTCAGAAAGTGCGCCCCGCCCTCAGGACTGTGAAGAGGGGGTGCCACGGGGGAGGGGAGCGCTGCAGGTCCCCAGCAGCAAAGCCACGCCACATGGCATACGGCTGCGCAGCAAGCACAGGGGCTGACAAGAGTCGGCTGCAGAGGCCGCCCGGCCCCGCAGGGGCTGTGAATTGAAGCTCTGATGAGCCAGAGCCCAGAACCCAAGAACTCATGGCTCCTGTGTCCCCGGGGTGCTTCAGTTCCAGAACTGAGAGGCAGAGGCCGCAGGAAGCATCTGAGGAGGCATGTAACTGGCTGGCTCCCACTCAGACTGTGAAGAGCACTGTGGCCAAAGAGCCTCTGACCTAGAGGAGAAGCACATGCCTTCTGAGATCGAGGCAGAGCGTGTGCAAGCCACGTGGTGACAGCTCCAGTGCTCAGTGTGAAGAGAATTCCCAGCACCTCCATTCACGCCGTAATGCAAGTTCCCTGTGGAACAGCCAAGCTGAGAGCAGTGCCCTGCACTCGGCTTCAACCTGTGACGGTCACGCGGCCCGAAAGCAGGGGTCAGCGTGGCCACGTAAATCCTTGTGTCCCCCTCCCTTGTACCCCAAGACAGCTGATGACAGGCTGGCTCCCTCCACCACATCGAGGGTGTAGGCCCTGTGGGAAGAGGCCCAACCCTAGACACCTGCTGTGAGAAACAGCTCCTGTGTGTGGGGGCAGCCTGTGGGGTCCTGGCTTCCTGCAGGGCTGCTGGTCTGCTTAGGGTCTGTGGTGGGGGAAGTGCAGACCTCAGAGCTACCCAGGCACAGGCTGGTGAGATGCTCAGACCAGGAGAGCAACAGGCTGGGATGGCGACTAAGGATGGAGCACACAACTCCCTGTCTTCCACCCACTTCCACCGGTGTGCACCTACTCACTCGCCTGCCTATCCACCCACCGGACAGGCACCTGTCCATCACCCACCATCCATATCCCATCCACTTACCCACCCGAACACCCACGACCCGCCAGCCCATCTGGCCATCGAGACGCCCACCCGAACACCCACGACCCGCCAGCCCATCTGGCCATCGAGACACCTTTGCAGAGCCCCTGTAGCTACTTTTCCACGGAGAAAGCGGCCGATGCAGTCTCTGCTTTCTTAATTTTTTTTTTTTTAATTTATTTATGTGTGTGTGTGTGTGTGTGTGTGTGTGTGTGTGTGTGTGTGTGTGGCCAGCTCAGCCCACCAGGGGGCAGGGCTGGCTGGCATGTGGTGCTGGGGGATTGAACCGCGGTCCCTGTGCTTTGCTAAGCTTGTTCTAAGTAGGTGCTTTAGACCACTGAGCCATCTCACCAGCCCAGTCTCTGCTTTCTTTCACTGAGTGGCAGAGCCCCCATGACGGCAGTGTAGGCTGTGCCGGCGGAGCCTGTCCTGCTCCTCAGCCCATTACCTGCCTTCCCGCTCTGGCCACTTTTGCTCCTCACCCACAGCCCAGGTCTTCTAGGAGTGGGGGATTTGTGCACAGCTGGAGTGCAGGGAGCTGAGTCCTGCCTGTGGATGTGGCCAGCAGTGGCTGCAGACTCTTCACCATGTGCACTGTGAGCTGGCACACCGGACACTGCAGCAGAAGCCGAGGCAATCGCTTTGCTCGGACCACGTGCAAAGGGCCCCTGTGTGGTCTGCTCACTGCTCTGGAAGGAAAGTGGGCCTTGGCCTGGAGATGGCCTGTGCCCTCCCAGGGGAGGTGCTGCTCTGTGGCCCACAAGGCCCAAGACCCAAGGGAGGGAGGAAGGATGGGCAGAGCGGTGGGCAGCCAGGAGGAAGGACACATGATTCCTGGGGCCTGAGGCTGGGCCAGACCGCTCCTGACTGTCTGTGCAGAACCCACGGGGCATGGCTGCCCAAGGGAGGGCGGGTAGGCTCCTGCCACCCCTCTTGTGCAGGGCGACTCGGCCGCCTGCAGGGTCAGATCTCTTCCTAGCTGGGTCTGTAGCCTGGGCAGGAGCCCTGAGGTGGATCTGCAGCCAAGGCAGAAGCTGGCTGTCCTCAGTGTGCAGCCTTGATGGGGATGGCGGACACCTCAGGAAGAGTCCCCGTGGTGCACAGCACTGCTGGCTCTGGTCCAGGTCGGGTGCAGGATCCACATCTGCAGCAGAGCTTCTGGCAATGGCCACGCCGTGGAGTCCGTGGGCTCTGATGTTGCTTGTCACTCAGATGGGCGAGCAACCCAGGAGTCTGACAGAGAGATGGCCTCTGTCCCCCCTCGCCCAGCCGGGGGCAGCTGGGTGCCTCAACCTCCCCAAACCTTCTCTAACTGTCCAGAAGTCAGGCCCAAGCTGGCTACAGAGGAGCTGGAGATGGCGAAGAGCCATGGGAGAGACAAGCTGCTTGCGTTTGGCCAGGGGCCGGGCTGAGGCTACACCTTCCCAGGGTCCCCCAGCGGGCGGCAGGAAGGGCCGGGCTCCATCCCTGCTCCCTGCCCACAGCTCTCCAGCGCAGCAGAAACACACCCAGCCTCCACGTCCTCAGCAAGCACCATCCCGACTGCACCCTCAGCCCCGCGCACCCCAAGACTGGCTGTGGGCAGCAGGTGCTGTAGCTTTTCACCTGCCACCTCTGGTTCGAGACCGCTGAGTCCTCACGCTCTGCTCAGGCCCGGTTGTGGCCTACAGCCTTGTCCGCAGCCTGGCTGGTGGAGCTGAGGGAGGCTGCCTGAAAGACCACCAGGGTAGAGGAGGTGGAGGGTGTCTTGGAGCTGCACCTTGCGTTCTGGGGTAGTGGGCCCTCGCGGTCAGGTGCTCCTTGCCCTTCGGGGGGCATTCTGAAGACATAGGGGTCCTCATCACTGTGACCTCAAAGCAGGGAGGCCTCCACACCCAACCAAATTGAGCCCAGAGTGGACAGAACCCAACCACCATAAATGTTGGTGTTGACCAGGAAAGTGTGGATGCTGGCTCTGATGCAGGTCACTCAGGAGCCCTGGTGCACTGTGAGGGGCCTGTCAGCAGCCGGGACTGACCCTGGGGGAGCACAGGGTGTGGTCCAGCGGGGGTAGATGGTGCTTACTGGGTGCCCCCCACTTTTTTGTATTTTAGGGAAGAGTCTACAGGGTGTTCAGGGTCTCACTACTAGGCGGGACTTGTAGTGATCTGCTTGTTTACAGCCTCCCAAAAGCTGGGATCACAGGTGTGTGCCACCACGCCCAGCTGCCATCTCATCATGCCCCGGGGCAGAGCAGGCTCAGCAGGCCCCCGAGTTGAGCCCCCAGCCCCTGCGCCTGCTTGCAGGTGCTTTAATACGCTGAGCTATTTGGCTGGCCCCTTGGGGGCCCACTTTTGCACCCTCATGCTGGGCACTGCACACCCGTCAGCCTCCTCAGTCCCGAGCCCAGGCTGCCACCCCAACGACAGGATTGATGGGTCGGGCCCGTGTGCTCAGACAGACCAGCACACACTGAGTGCCTGGCGCCTCTTGGAGGCCACACTTGTCACACTCACGTGGCCTCTTCCTTTTCGGGTGCAAGGTGCACCTTCCCCTGAACAGGGTAGGCTGCCACCCCTTGCAGGTGTGTATGCCCTGGTGACCAGCAGACTCAGGAGGTAATGGGCTCCACACAGGAAGCCTGGTGGGTACATGCTGTGCGGGAGGCCCAGGCCAGCGGCACGGGCGTCACAGTGAAGGGGCGAGAGCCCAGCCAGCAACGGCAGGGAGTGGCCACAACCTGCTGCCCACGAGTGCTGCATCCAGCCTCCCTGGCACTCCAGCCCCGGGCCACAGGCCAAGGTGGAACACAAGACAAAGGACCACATGTCATTTGCAACCAAAGCTGCATTTATCTTCACTGATGGACATGTGAGCAGAATGTCAGCCGCAGGCTGTAGCAGGAAGTGGGGCTGAGGGCAGGAGCGGAACAGAGCAGACAGCTGAGTGGACAGGAACCCACGAGGCTGGTGAAGGCACACAGGTGCTCGTGGGATAGTTAGTAAAGCCGAGTACGAAGGGGGCGCCCCTGTGATCCCAGCACTGAAGAAACTGAGGCAGGAAGACAGAAAGCTGGAGATCAGCTTGGGCAACTTGGGGAGACCCTGTCTCAAGATGAAAAAAACAGAAAGCTGTGGTGGTTTCCCTAGGTTCCATCCCCAGAACCAAAATAAAAAACCAAATGGAGCCAGGCAGAGGCACAGACAGCAGGCACGACTGACAGATGCACAAGAGAGAAACGCACGCGCCACGTCTGCTCTGACCACCCTCTAGACTGCTGGGTGTCCACGTTCTACTTGGCTGGCACAGACATTGTGAAGACCTTGCAGGCTCAGCAGTGTCCAAGGTTTGTTCTCGCAGCTAACGCTGCCTGCCTGGACGCCGCAGGGAGCAGCAGCAGCAGCAGAGGCTGGGCCTGTCCTGAGGCCACTGTGGGGAGGACCCAGGCTCAGGTGGGAGGCCACGAGGTGCCTGGTCCCCAGACAGTGGTCTTGCCCGGCAGACAGGCACTGCCACCATCACCGCTGACCTGAGGGCGTTTTCGACTGGCAGTGGCATGTTCGCGACCATATTAAACACAGCCACAGGGTTCTGGAAGCTTTTTATGAGGACTTCCAAGGTTGGGAATTTAACAACGTCACTTTATATTAACAAACCACAAAAGAAACCCTCTTATACTTCTGCATCGTAGAAGAAGGCAAAAGCCAAAGCTTTGTACACTACCATTACTTTAATATAGACCTGCGGCCTCGGCTCCAAGGGCCGAGGGAGGACAGGGCCGGGCCTGGTGGCCTCACAGTGCATGGACGGCAAGGCCGCCCTCCTCTCTCCATAAATAAGACGAGACCTGGGGCTGGAAAGGGCGCCGAGTCCAGTGAGTCCCAAACCCCAACTAGAAATCAGGTTTTGGTTAAACGTCTGAGGAGCACAAAATTAAGAAAGTACAAAACCATTAAAAACGCTTCTCACCTGTGGGAAAGTACAAAGCAGGGTTTCGACGGCCTACTCTGCCCAACGCGCCCCCAGCTGCATCCGCGGGGGCTACCGGGCCTCTACCTCGTGTGGGGTGCGAGCCGGGTACTCTCGGGGCTCCCCAGGCAGCGGTGCGGGCCTGGGGCGTGCAGGGACCCCGGGCGCGGCCACCAGCGGGGGCGGCGTGTGCAGCGCCAGGTTGAGGTCATGGTCGCAGCCCAAGCCTGGACCTGCAGCAGTGCCCTCCCCGTGCTCCTCCTTCACCTTGACGGCGTTGGTGCTGGGTGGGAGCTCGCGGCCCAGGAGGCTGCTCATGTGCAGGCTGTCACCCAGGGCCGCCTGGCTGCAGGGCGACGGTGGGCGCATAGCCAGCATGGCGCCATCCTCCTGCGCCAGCCCCGGAGAGCTGGCGTCCTTCACACAGGGCTCCGGAGCACACAGAAGTAGGGCGTGCGGCACCAGGGGCCGAGGCAGGCGCGTCTTCTCCAGGAAGTCTCTAGAAGGGCGTGGAGGATGACATTTGCTGAGGTCCCCGCACAGCCCGGCTGGCAGTATCCTGTGAGATGGGACCCTTTGGCACCCTGGGTCGCTTCGTGCCAGGCCCTGTCCTCTGCACGCATGTGACATGGGCAGGCAGCAAAGCTCTCCACTGGAGGGGCCAACCCTGGCTCAATTCCTCTCTCATAGGGGTCTGACCACTAAGTCCAATGCCCTGTGCCCTTGGGGTTCACCAACTGTAGTCACCCAGGCGTGGGAACTGATGTCCCCACGCCCCCTGGGGCCTGCAGCAGAGAACCCAGCCAAGGCCGGCCCACCCAGACTCTGTCACCTTGGCCAGGTCTGGGCTCACCCCTGCCTGGCACCACCACCCTCAGTAGGCCCCGTGGGGTGTGGCTGGCTTCAGGTTCCCACAGCCACGGGGCACAAGTCTGTCCCCTCCCTCCTCTTGGACCCCCAGGCCCACAGCTCAGGACCTCAGCCACTCTGCCTCTTCCCAGGGTCCCTCCTGCCATGCAGACCAGCATGTTGCCCCTTCCTGGGGTCCCCTGGTCTGTGCACCTGAGGCGGAGAGATGCCTGCCCTGCCATCCACCTATCATTCTCAGGGATCCTGTGAGGTCAGGACTCAGGAAGCAAGTGGAGAGGATGTGGGGTCCTGGGGCAGGGGCAGCCAGGTGGGGGGCCTCGCCTGGCACAGTCTGCTGCTCCTCCTCACAGTCCACACAGACTAAGGGGAGCCTTGTGCTCCGTGGATTCCGGGTCAGGCAGCAGCACACTGGGTCTGGCCCCAGGAGCAGCCCCTCTTGTCTGCCTCCCCAGGCCAAGGGAGGTGGGTCGTTCATTGTGTTCCTACAGCTGCAACTTAGGACAGTGTCTGCACTCAGGTGCCTGTTGCCCCCGTGCGGGGTCTTCCTACCTCCCCCCAACCCCGGAGACTGGAAAGATGTGCCCAGACAAAGCTCAGGGGACCAAGGGGAGCCTCAGCTTCATGGTAGGTGGGGGCGGAGGACAGGGAAGGAAGGGGGTGAGTGGCTGGGTGGAGAGAGGAAAGGGCCCTCAAGGAGACAGACTGCACTCACCGCTCGTGCTCCTCGCAGCCTGGCTCCAGCTCCAGCTCCTGGGGCTCCCGACTGCGGCTGCTCAGCACATCAGTGGGCTTGGGCCATGGGGGCGACACCCGGTGCAGCCGGCTCCAGGCCTCGTGTGGGCCAGGTAGACTGTGCAAGGGGGAGCCCTCCTTGGAGGTGAAGATGCCGCCCCCCGGAGCTGGTGAGGGGGCACAAGTCAGCAGCCAGGCCTCCCAAAGCCACCCTGTCCTGGCCCAGGACCCAGCCAGGGATTACTCACCCAGCATGTGGCTGCCCAGCCCTCCGAAGGCATGGCTGCCCAGGCTGCCCAGGCCCCCAAAGGTGCCCGATCTGCTGAAAGGGTCTGCAGGCAGTGGGGGTCAGGGTCTGCAGCTGGGCCAGCATCCCCCCATCCAGCTCAACTCCAGCCCACAGGTGCCAACCTGACCTTCCTACCCTCAGGGAACCTACCTGTCAGGTGGGCGGCAGGCAGGAAGCTGGCATGATGGACAGAGGGGCCCAGCGGGTGTGTGGCAGGGTGGGTGGCACCTGGGGGAGGGCAGCCAGGTTGGCAGCGGCCTAGAGAGCCACTGGGTGTCCTTCTGCAGCGTCCTAGGGAGCCTCTGCCTAGCGCCATCCCTTCACCCACTGCGGGGTGAGGGTGTCCAGGGGGGTGAGGCAGAAGCCTTGGAGCACAAAGGTGAGCAGCAGCCAGGGCCCCCCTGGGCCCCAGGGGGCGGGCGTGTGCTCGCAGCAGGAAACTCAAAGGAAAGAGGCCCAGCGAGAGAGCCCTGATCAGGCTCTTCCTGAGGCCCCCGCCCCACCCCTGCGTGAGCGCAGCCTAGGGCATAGGCTGGGTCTTGGCCAATACCCATCTGCCCAGCACACCAACAACCCACACGCCTCCAGAGCCAAACGTGGGGAACAGCTGTGGCACGCTGGGCTGTGGAGGGATGTGAGGGCAGTCTGTGCTGCGGCTGGGCGGGGTCGGGCTGCTTGTGGGCACATGGCATTCGAGGAAGGAGGACCCTCAGGGGGTTGGGGCAACATTCAGAGCTCCTCATCTGCATGTAACCCCCATCAGCAAGCCACCCCACAGGACGCAGCGGACAGAGAATGAGGACAGTGCAGCTGGCTCAGCCGGCGTCAAGGCTGGCCCTGGAACCCACGATTCTGGGCCCTGGGCGCTTCCTGCCAGGCCCTGCTCTACCAGGTCAGCCCTCCTGCTGCCACAGACCATGCTCCCTGCCACTGACTGCTCCATGATGTCACTCTGGGGACAACACAGTCCCTCCTGAGTCACCCCTGGGGTCTTCACCTGTCTGAGGAAGAGTAAGGCTGGTGCAGGGCCTCAGGAGCAATGTGCTGTGCAGGGTGGGGACAGGCGAAGAGCCCTCAGGACACGGGACAGCCATGCCCGGGGGCAGGATCCTGGCCAGGCACATGGGAGGAAAGGGCTCTGGCCACCTGGGTCTCACCTGTGCTGGAGAAGAGAGGCTGGGCCAGGTCCTGTGGGTAGTGGGACCCCGAGAACATGCCTGGGGCAGGGGGCCTGCTGGACAGGTCCAGCTTGGTGCCCACCTCCAGCTTGTGGGGGTCCAGCTGCAGCTGTGGAGGAAGAACGTGTGTGTGGCCAGCTGCCGCCCAGCGCCCTTCTGCACCCCCGGGGCCTGACCCCCAGCGCCCTCCTGCACCCCGGGGGCCCGACCCCCGGGGCCCGCCCAGCAGCCGTGCAGCCTGAGCAGCATCTCATCTGGCCTCTGCTCTGAGTTCTGTGAAGTGCATCACAGCCCACCGGCTCTGGGCTTCCGAGGACAGAATGCAGACTTGTTTTAGAAGCTGAATTTATTAAAGTCAAGCAAAATGAAACTGCCTGCCCCTCAGACTTGCTGGCGCCTCAGCCTCACAGGGGCCTAGCTGGTAGGCCAGGTTATCTCCGGGTTATGTTCATTTTGAGACGGGGTCCTGCTGTGCAGTTCAGTATGGCTTTTACCCACTGCAGAACCCGGCCTGAACTGCCAGTGATCCTCCAACTTTACCCTTCCAAGTGCTAGGGTTACAGGTATGCACCACCGCGCCCGGCCTTTTTGAGACAGGGTCCTGCTATGCAACTCAGGCTAGCTTAAGCTCACCACAGGCTGGCTCTGAACTCAGTGGTCCTCCAGCCTCAGCCTCCGAGTACTAGCCTCACTAGGCCCAGCTTCTAGTCCCCAAGTGGGGGTCTGGGGCCAGGTGGGAGGGCCACTCCCTGCCATGGGGTAGGCCCTCACTCCAGCCCTAAGGGCAGCCAGGCAGAGCCCAAACTCTGCAGGCCCTGCTCTCCATGGAAGTCCCACTGCACCGACACCCCATTCCAGCCTCTTGTGTCTCCTGAGGGCCACCCATGCATGTGTGTCACACAGGGCTGCTGGGGACTCAACTTCTTCCACATGTGCAGAAGGTGTGAGAACTTCTAGAATCACGATGCCACAGGCCACGCTGGGCAGGGGCCCCATGGGCTGACTGGCCTCCCGGGATCTCCCCACCCACCTGTGCACGCCCGTGCCAGCACGCGAGGCTGAGGGCCTGTGTCCGCCTCACCCTCACCTTCTGCTGGTGGTGGAGGATCTGCCAGGCGATCTGCACGTGCACTGCACACCACTTCCCTGGCTTCTGCAGCGGGACAAGAAGAGCTGAGAGGGCCCCTCATAGGCACCCGGGCCACAAGGGGCACCTGCCTATGCCCATACTCACCCTGATTGCCGTCCGGTATGGGTCAGTCACCTGTGGGGACAGAGCAGAGGGAAGTGATGGCCGACTCTGCCAGAACAAGAGCACAGCAGGACAGCATCCAAACCAGCGCAGACCCAGGAGGGAGCGAGCAGGTGTGGACACCTACCCCAGGGGCTTTCTGCAGGAGCGTGTGGACGGCACTGGCTCGGCCTGGAACCTGGATCGGGTTTGCAGTCTGAGGTGGGACAGAGCGAAAGAAATGTGTGACTAAGAGGTGGCCCCACCTGGGCGGCCACCACACCCCAGTCCAGGGTCTGCCGAGGCATAGGGTGGCTGGCCAGACAGGGACCACCCATCCTAGTCAGGCCCACGCTGGGGGCAGGGCTGCCATGTGGGCAGCAGAGGACATATAGCAGAGGCCAAGGCTGGGTCCCTCACACTCATGCCCAGGTCCTGGGTCTTTCAGTTCTTATTTTCTCCTGGGGAAGATGGTGGCTGCCTGCTTTCTTTGCTGTGGCAGTGTGGGGACCTGAGCCCTTGTCCTCTGGGGCTGGGTCTTAGGGACCCTTTCTGGCCATCTGTGACAAGTGCTACCAGCCCAGGGGCTCTGCAGAGTTGGGGACCCAGAAGAAGCCTGGGCCACCTCAGGCATTGGGGCAGCTGGGAGCAGCAGGTGGAGGTCACCAGGGCTGACACTGATGTTCCTTCCTTAGTGGTCAGTCTCACTAAACCTTGTAGAATCTGGCTACCCAAGGGACTACTCAGAATGTCCTTGTCCAGGTCAGAGAAGGTGCATAACCTCCTGCTATGTAGATGGCCCATGTCAAACACCTTCTACACCAGGGCTGAACCCCACAAGTAGTGGGCATGTGCAGGAAGCTCTTCTCCACAGGCTGTCACCCTTGTCATGAATACCTCTGGTCCAGAACCCTGTTCTCCCAAGTCCCACCCTGACCCCCAAACCTCTGGCCAGCATGGCTGGTACCTTGGGCTGGAAAGCGCCCTGCAGGGACCCAAAGGGGCTGGCATGTGCAAGTAGGGTGGGTAGCCCCGGGACAGCAGAGGGGAAGGCCGGGAAGAGCTGCAAGAACAAGAGAGGGTGCTAGTCCTCGGAGCCCCTACGGTGCCCCAGCCCCGGGCCTGCACACAGGGACTCACAGTGGAATGTCGGAAGTAGGGGCTGTCCAGCCTGGGCGAGAACTTGTCAAACTGCAAGGGAAGGAAAAGGTGAAGCTTCATGTCTGATGCCCTCAGGGGCCTGGTGCCTGCCCCCGCTGGCCGGGTGGGCAGTGGCTAGGACTCTGCCTCCCAGGATGGGTAGCCCACAGCGGCTGTGTCCAGGCTCCCAGAGCACCCCGTGAAGCCCTGAAGAAGGCACAAAGCCCTGTTGGGGACAAGTGAGTAGGCCCGGGCTCCGACCACCTGGGACCTAGCCCCATGCTGCAGATGGTCCCGAGACAGGAACACGAGGGCCTCCCTGGGCCCCTAGTCCTGCCCAGGCCTGCAGAGCTGGAGTCCAGCCATAGCCAGATGCTGAGGGCCAGTGTGAGTGTGGCTCCTGGAGCAGTCACATGCACTTGGACAGCCAGGCCAGGGGTCCAGGACGGACCTCATGCATGACCTGGACAGGGGGGCAGGCTCCAGGAGCCAGCAGATAGGCCTGGGCTGAGCACAGACTGTCCAGACAGGCAGAGAGAGGTGACGTGCCCCCACCCTCATGTGCCAGCCTGTGTGGCTGTCCCCCCGCCAACATGTGGGCCTACGCACCGGAGGGGGTGCGGCAGGCGGCATGAGCGGAGTCGGGGGCAGCCCCGGGAAGGGGCCAAATGTGTGTTGGTGCTGGTGTGTGTGCTGGTGAGTGTGCTGGTGAGTGTGCTGGTGGAACTCGGCCCGCAGCAGGGACCCCGGGCCCAGGGGGGCTGGCCTCTCTGTGCTCTGCACCAGAAACCGCGTGTTCAGCTCTTGCCTGAGCAGCTCCTGATCTACAAGAGAAAAGAGAGAGAGACAGAGAGGCACGTCGGCCACGGGCTCCCGCGGGGCGAGGCAGATAGTCACCTGGCACTTGCTGCTTCGGCAGGCTAGGCCTCGGGGGCCGCTCGCCAGGTGCGGGCCGGGGGGTGGAGGGAAGAGAGGAGCCTGTGACCAAGTACCAATCAGAATCCCCGCATGAGGCTGGCAATACATGATTGGCTGGCTGAGGGAGAGCAACAGGCTGGTATCTGGAGGTGAGAGAGAAGCCGTGAGCCCCCTGCAGGCCCGTCCCGTGCGCCCTTCCCACGGGGACACCACTGACTCCACTCCACAGAGCCCGTGGAGGATAGAGGAGGAAGCCCTGGGGCCAGGTCCAGGAGGACAGCTGAGGAGGCAAAGGCGGGGGCTTCCACCACCTGGACCCTCAACACCCAACCCGGCGCCAAGGAAGGGGCAGGGACAGCGGTGGTGGCCCGGGTCCAGGAGAGCGGGGAGGGAGGTGTCTCTGGGACCACACCCGACAGGAGCTAGCCAAGTCCCCAGGACCACCTACCTGAGGGGTGTCCTGGGACCACCAGGCTGCCAGGCAGCGCCGGGGCAGGGGGCAGTGTGGGCGCGGCGAACATGGCCGCGGGGTGCTGGTGCACCTGGGCCCGGAGTGCCAGGTGTGAGGTAGAGAGGTGGGGGCCTGGCCCTGGCGGCGATAGCGACCTGTGCTTCCCCAGGCCCAGTGGGGCGCCACTGCCTGCGCTGCTGCTCCTGCTGGGGACGCAGGGCTCAGTGCCACCAGCAGCCCAGGTCCCTGTCCCTGTCCCCACCCCCTGCCCGCCCAGCCGCAGGGTGGGTCCAGCGCCCGCCCGGCAGGTCGCCAAGGCCTGCAGGCCCGCCCCCACCACGCCACACCCTGAGGGAGCCCCGCCCGGGCTGGCCCGCCCTGTGACCGCGCCCCAGCGCTGGAGGGCCCGCCCACAGCCACACCCAAGCAGGCAGACCGCCCCGCAGCTCCGCCCCGCACACCTGAGGCCGGGCAGGTGCAGGCCGGAAGGTGCGGCCTGACCCGGGCCCGCGAAGGCGCCCAGCGGCGCAGGCTCTCTTGTTTGCGTCGTCTGTGTGGGCAGTGAGCCAAGGGGCTGCGGGGGCCGGGGCGGAGGAGCGTGGCGGAGCAGTGCTTCGGTCTTCAGCAGCGGGTTGGTCCGCGCCCCGGGCGGCGCAGTGGGCAGGGTAGCGGCGGGCAGGAAGGGATCCGCGCTCAGCTCCCGGCTGCGTTCCAGACCTGACACCTTGGGTGCCGCCCCGGCCCTAACCTCCGACCTCTCGTCCAGTACTGCACCTGCAGAGGGGGTGGGCGTGGGCTGGGTTGTTTGGTAGGCCCGGGGATCACCTCATTTCTTCAACCTCGAAGTCCAGGCTCCCCCGCACTCTTGGCAACTACTGGGGGCCCCTTGGACACTCCTATTCCTGGGCAAGCAGGCACGGGGGGCGGGGGGGCTGTGGTGCCCTCCTACCCAGACCTCAGATCAAGGAGCAGGCAACCGGAGGGGGACTGATCGGTTTCCCACAGGTGGAGAGACCCCCCCCCACCAGGCCCCACTCCCTGCTGTGTTCCCCTCCCGCTGCTTGTGCCACTGCCTCCTCTGGAACCCTGGTGGCTGGTGGTGGCTGCTCCCAGGCCCTTGCCCATTGTCCTGAGCCATCACCTATCTCTGGTGACCAGCTCACCCAAGGGTCCTGCTGATCCCTGTGCTGCCTAAGACCTGGGAGCAGCTCTGTCCTGCTCACCTGTGTCAGTCGCTGGGGCAAAGAGCTGCTCCGAGCCCACGGAAGCCTGAAGAGGAAGGAGGTTCAGGGGCCAGGCCTGGGGAGAGCCAGCCCTCAAAGCCCCTTGACACACCAAGACCCTGGTGGGGCCAAGTCCTGCCCACGTCCCTGCCCTGACCAGCATATGGCACAGGTGTGGGGACAGCCCGTCAGCAAGGGCGGATGAGTGCACTGGCAGGCTTGAGGCACCCGTTCACACCCTCTACCCTGCAGTGTGGCTAGCTGTGCTCTGGGGCTGCGTCTGGGCAGGTGACTACTCTGACAGGGAAGTGCCCCACCTCATGACATCTGGAGAAACACCATGTGTCCACAGAGAGACCACCGTGCTCTGCGGGCGGGACCCTGTGGTTGCTCTGAAGAACAAGCTTCAGACAGTTCTCTCCCCCTTTCTGCTAAGCGGCTTCACTGAGACAGGAAATGCACCTGTGCTTCAAAATCTACCCCGAGAGCTGTACCCCTAGGGGATGGTGCCTGCCCCAGGGAGGTCAAGGCCAGAGGCCTGGTGAATGACTGGTGTCCTTCATGACCCCTCTTCCCTACAAAGCAAGAAGTAGCCTTCTCCAAATGCGAGCTCTCTGGAACCTCGGCCATGGCCTTCCTGTGCTGCAGACCGTGAGAACAAGCTGCAACCAGGCTCCAGCACTTTACGATGGTGGCCCAAGCCCCAGAGAGACCCACTTTAGAGACCCACTAAAGCACGGAGGCAACTTGGCAACGAGGGAGCCTTGAAGAGCAGCACATCCTCGCCGCCATCACCCAGAAAGTGGCCCCGTCACCCGCCCCCGCCCAGTCTCTGTGCCTAACACAGCATGAGGCTGTACGACTGGCTCTGGCACTAAGCTCTGCGCCACGGCAGGCAGCCTCCTGGATAGACCCCAAGGGCACTGCTCGACGTGGGGCATCACGCAGTTCCATGGGTGGATGCGCACAGGTCATGCTGCATACCCATTTGCATATCCGTGTGCATACAGGTGTGCATATGCATTTTCAAGGAGTTCCCCCCCCCCCCCCCCCGCTGGCTCAGGCTGCCTTAAGGGTGGGTCTGGTAAGGTACGAGGAGCTGGGGATCAAACTGTGATACACTGCGCCTGACTATTTGCATAAGCAGGTGCTTAAACAACAGAGCTAACCGGCAGGCCCCCATATCCATTTTCATACACCCCTGTTCACGTGCCTGCCTGCACACAGACACACAGGGCCATGTGTGATAAGGTGCTCCCTGGCTGTGTGTGCAAGGGATTAGGTACACAAAGTACACAGCTGTGTATACATCTGTGTGGTGTGGAGGACACACAAACCCAGCTGGAGACAGCGGCTGCCCCAGGGACAGATGGGAAGTAGTACACAGCCTGAGAGGGAAGGGCGAGGTTCACCCTGAATGTGGGCAGTGCGGGGCACAAGGGGCAGAGGGACAGTCCTTGCCCAGACCAAAAGAGTGCCTGAAGGCCAGGAAAGGCACCTTGCCCAGGTGCCACACAAGAAGATGCCTGCTGGCTATGCTGTGCCACCCACCCCACCCTACCTGGGCAGGACAGCTCTCCAGGGTCTGCACAGTCCAGCCCAATGGAGGCCAGGCTCCTGTTCTGCCCAAGCTCAGCAGGGGTGGCAGAGATGCAAGGTCTCTGCCCTCTACCAACAGGCAAAGCAGAGTGTCTCTGGCTGTACCCTGGCCACCTTGGTGTGGTGGGAGGAGCTGCACACACACTGGCTCCATTGGGAAGCCAGACCCCACGTATCAGGTATCACAGGTCCACAGTGAAACCCACAGCAGCCCCTGGGAAAGCAGTGTAGGGTGCTGGACAAAGGTGGAGCATCTCACACCAGGGGAGCCACAGTGCAGGGAAGGCACACAGAACTAAAATGCGGACCCCAAGGACATCAGGCTCCAGGCAAAGCCTCAGCATACAGTGGGCTCCTGGTGTGGTAAGCAGCCTTATGCTCAGGAAAGGGGAAGTGGGCTCAAGGAGGTAGCCTACACCTGCAATCCCAGCTACCAGAGGGATCTTGGGAGGCTGAGACAGGAAGAAGTCAGGGTTTTGTGTGTTTTTTGTATTGTGAACCAAACTCAAGACTTTGCACTTGCCAGGCAGGCGCTGTGTCACTGAGCTATATCCCTGGCCCAGGACCTCAGGTTTGAGGCCACACCTTGCCTCAAAATAACAAGAAGCCTGGGCTATGGCTCAGTAAACCCATGGGTTCTACACTGCCCAGCCGCCACCGTACACAGCAAAGGAGAGGTGAGATTTCTGTTTCATCCTCCATAGCAACCATCCCAGACAGCACACAAGCACACAGCAGCATGACAGGGTGCTTCACAGCCTGCTGAGGGGTGAGATGGAGCCACTGAAGGGGCTGGGATCCTCACGACATGGAAGGACTGTTATCTGCTCTTGCACCAAAGACTGCTGCACAGTGAACACACTCAGCAGAGGGGCAGGGGGACCCCTGCTGCCTACCCTCAGGACCCCAGTAGCCTGACGTCCTGCAGCATAGGCTGCTGGCTTCCAATTTCAAAAGTGGGTTTTGTGGGTGAGGGGCCTGCCTGGCTGGGGTGGGTAAGCAAGCAGGGAATGCAGCTCTACCTCTGGCTCTGAAGTCGGGGTGTACAACCTCCGCTTCAGGCAGGGGCTTCTGCTCAGAGCAGCTCAGCCCCTGGCCCTTTCCGGGTCGTCCACTTGGAGGCACCACAGCCTGGAAGCCCCACGTCACATCACAAGCAGGGAAGGGTTTCCCTCCCTGGTCCAACACATGGTGCCCAGAGACAGGAATGCTGGAGGAATCAGACAGCTGTGACCTTCCTTGTGGCTTTGGGAGGTGTGCAGTCATCTCCACTGGGGAGCAGGCTGAGTTCAGGACTGTCAGCTCCTGTCACCTCTGCCTTGTGTCTCTCACATCCTTTGAACCAGGTCAGAGCAGCATGCCCACTGAGAACTGCTCCTGGCTGCAGACTCTGGGTACCCCAGCTCCACACCAGGACTCTTGCACTCAGGGCTGTCATGACCTCCACTGGGGCCCTGACCCACCCTTCCTGAGCTGGAGGGTGCCTACCCCTTCCTTGTCCCAGCTGCCTCCTCCATGGCTAGGCAGCAGTTCCAGGAGGGTGAGAGGACACTGGGGCACTGAGGCCAGCTGGGAGCTCCTGCCGATGGCCGTGGGATGGCAGCTGCATCTGCTAACGAGCCCAGTGTGTAGTGGTCTCATTATGGGGTAGGGATTCTGGGTTGTAGTACAGCACTAACTGCTCCAGCAGCCAAGAGGTCTCAGCCCCACACCACCTTCCAGGGAGCAATATGGGGACAGGGGGCGGGGGCTAGGAGGGACTGGAGCCAGGGCTAGCACAACTGCTGCCTCACAAGGCACCCAAGGGCACAGACTCAGGCCCCTCCGGCGAAGAGAAGGCAGTGGATGGGGTGGGTGTGAGCACAGCCCCGGCCAGGTGCAGGAGGGCTGCGCGCTCTGAGGCTCTGTATCCTCCTCCAGAACCCAAACAGAATACCCAAACTCAACTCCTCTGGTGGAGAAGTGGCTGCCCAGAACCCGGATATGGTACCCAGAATACAGGAAGGCCGAAGCACAGGCACGGCCAGGGTCCTGGTCCCTGCTGGCGTCCTGGGCAGGTCCTGGCCCGCTCCGCTCCGAGGCACATAAACTGGGCCCTGGGTCACTCTGTCGCAGATGCGAGCCCCTGCTCTACCCAACCACTTCTCAGTCTTGGCCGCTGCTGGCACCCGGGCAGAGGCGGGGACCTACACACGGGAGGCTTCTGGCGCTCTGGTTTCGAGGCCCGACCGCGGCGCCCCGCCCTGGACAAAGAACTCAACTCCGCAGGTGAGCGCAGCGCGGGGCGCAGACAAAGGCGCGGCTCCCGGGCTCCCGGGCTCCCGGCCCGCTGCTTGCGTCCCTCCCGCCCCAGCCCCGAAACCCGCCGGGTCCGAGAGAGCACCGACCTCGCGGGTCCCGCCTGCCGCTCTGCTCGCTGTGATCTCCGCGCCTGCTCAGCTCAGCCCGGCTCGGCCCGCGGCGCTAGTCCACCGCAGACTGGACTTGTGTGCGCCACCGGTTCTAAGCGAGCGCGGGCTCCGCGGGGCGGTACGGCCGGCCAGGGGCGGGGCGCGGGCAGGCCCGACAAATCCAGCCCTGAGGCTCTGATGCGAAGGCCGCAAGACGGCCTTCCAGGTGCAGGGCGGAACTCCGCGATCCTCAGGGGGACAAGTGACAACGCTGGATGCTAAACCCTTTCTGATCTGTTACTTACCAAATACACAAACTCTATCAACGCAAAACACAAAACCACTCCGTGAAGGCCTGCTGTTTCCTGCTCGGAGCTGCACTAGGAGCATCTGGGGCCGCCTCTGGCTGCAAGCCCAGGGCTCCCCATAGACGGGATGCGGGGCCTCTTATGGGGACAGGCCCACCTGGGTGAGACTCTGCTGGTCAAGACTCCTGCTGGCTGCAGGAGTGTACTGTGGGCGAGGAGGCCCGCCATGGGGCTGCACTCTGTATAGCCCATGTTGACCGTGATCCAGAGGGGTTCTATCAGGGTCTCCCTGAGATGAGGCCAGGATATTGAGGCCTACAGCTGCAGCCCTCTTAGCTGGGGGAGGGAAAGCAGCACTGCCCCCAGGAACTTGGATCCTCTGAGCCCTGTTGCGGAGCACGAAGAGCTGAGGGAGCAGGGGCAGTCACAGGTCAGACTCCAGACTTGAGATGCTGGGGCCTCGTCTGGCCGCCAGACCCGGCGAGGTCGTGGTGCTGCTCCTCTGCCTCGCGTTCTTGCACATCCACCCCAGAGAGGTGGACAACCTTAACACATCTGAGTTTCATTTTCCACTGTCTCCTCTGAGGCCCCCTGTGCAGGTAACAGGCTGAAGGGCCTTAAAGCATGGCCAGGAGGGGCCAGCCCTGAGCCCCACCATGGTCCCCATCTTGATCTCTGGCAAAATTAGACTTGGAAAACTAGGAACTTGTCCTTCACTTTGTAGCTATGATATGAGAGATTTAATGAGG